CAAAATTGTCAGTATTTTCGGAAAAACTATTTTGGGTAAATGTCACTTTAAATTTACATCCTGTTGGATAGACCAGAAACACAGAAATTTCCAGCTGCCAGTATGCCCAAGTGTCCTGTCTCTACATAGATGTCTCACTTGAATTTTGTGGATGCACAGTAATTGCTTCCCAAGCTTATCACTACTATCCAACAGTCCTTTCAAATCAACAATGACACTTCAGTATCATTCCCTATTGTTTTGGCTAGAGATAATCTCTGAGATTACTTACTATGAATTTATTTTAATAAAATTTGTGGTTTCATTAACGTGGATATTGCCTTTTTCAATGCAGACTGTCCCTCCAAGATGTTTCATGAGTTACTGTGGCTTAAAAAATTAGTCAGAAAGATAGATACATAAAGCAGTCATGTTATGTGCTGGGCATTGCATTATGCTAAGAGGGTTTTAAATAAAAAGCAATCAAGACAGTCCTTGCCCTCGAGTTGCTTGCTTTCCAAGGAGCAAAGATACCACCTAAAGGGGAGTTAGAAAAGGGAGGTGTGGATGCTACATGGAGTGGAGATGGTGGGGAGTGGAGATGGTGGGAAGTAGCCCAGAATTCTAGTTCTCAGCATGATGAGTAGAAAGCTCACATCTCAGAGCTGGTCATCCCAGGACAGAATCTAAAGTTCTGGTGGGGTGAGATTGGTTTGATAGCCAGAGTGAAATCAGCATAGTCAGAAGACAGAAGACTAGGAATCCTTTAGCATCTCTGAATTTAGCTGCTCTGTTGCTCATTCCATATAAAAGCTTTTTCCAGCTTGATAGAACCTGCAAAAATTTGAACTTTGCCTTTGAGAATGCACAGCTGCTTCTTTCACCATGAGGCTTGAGAGTAAAGCGGTGTTATAAACAATAGAATAAAAGAATTATGAAGCTCTCATTTAACATTTTTATGATTTGTTATCACAGAAACAGTAATACCATAGTTACTTCAAAATGTTTGTCTCATTACTACCTTCTAATATGCTTTTTGAGAGTGTACATCCAATTCACCATATATGTGTAATTTTAAGATTCTGGTTGGTAACAATCATAGCTTTCATCTTTGTATCCCCAGAACAGTGCCTTCACATACTAAGCCCATAATAAAGTATTTGTTGAATAGAATTTAATGTTCAGAATTAAAGAATACTATGGCTAGGAAGGATCTTAATAGTTATCTTGGCTAGCCTTATCACCTTATAGAAGGGGAAACTGAAATCCCAGAGAGATTCAATGATTTGTCCAAGGTAAGATAGCTAATTAGTGGTGACAGACATAGGACTTTTATTTATTGATGGTGTAGGTACTACTTCTTGCAACAGCAAGTAGTAAAAAACCACAAAAATTATGTATACTATAAACTGAGACTATATATAAATAACTGGAGCCTTTTTTAAAAAATAGATTTTTATTAAAAATTTTTGCCTTTACATTGCCAGAATTTCCCCATGTATTCTTTCTTCTCTCTCCGAGAGAGCTATCCCATAACAAAGAATGAAAAGGAAAAAAATAATTAACGTCAAAAAAGTTTGATATTATATAAAGTGTGCTGTACTTTTACTCTCCTCCTCTGAAAAGAATTGGGTTTAAGCACCTTCTCATATCTCTTCTTTTGGGCTAAGCACGACCGATATGATTCTTTCAGTTTCATTTGCTTTGTTATTTTTCTTTCCATGTACGTAATTGTAATAGTTATGTATATTTTCTTAATTCTTCTTACTTCAGTTTGCATCAATTCATTTGAATCTTCCTGTACTTCTCTGTAATGTCATATTCATTGTTTCTTATAGCACAGTAATATTCCATAATTGGAATATTTTAAAAAGTTTTCTTAACTGCACAGTATTACTTAAATGGCTTCATGTTTATGTCTCAGAGCTTTGTTTATTGTTTTTATCACTGTCACTTTCCAATGTCTTCTGTTCCCCCATACATGCCTCTCTTGTAATAAATTAAATATAATTAAAAACAACAACTATGAATTGTTCCCAAATGAAAATATTTGTCTCGTTCCACATTTATTTCAATTTATTACATATTTCATGTATATATGTATTTTAATTTATCATGGCTTAATAATTATGTCACAATTATATACCATGTATCATATGCCACAGTGTATTCAGCTATTCCCTAGCAATGGGAACCCACTTTCATTCCAGTACTTTGCAATTAAAAATATTTTTGTAAATCATATTAAAAACAAAAACATCAGGGCAGTTAGAGTTAGATAGTTAAATATGGCAGTGGATAGAGCACCAGCCCTGTATTCAGGAAGACCTGAGTTCAAATGTGGCCTCATACACTTGACACTTACTAGTTGTGTGACCATGGGTAAGTCACTTCACCCCATTGCCTCACAAAAAACAAACAAGCAAACCAAAAATAAAAACAAAAACTTCCAGAACTACATTATTATCTCAACAGGTGCAAACAAACTGTTTGACTAAGTATAATACTAATTAATGCTAAATATACTACAAAGTGTAGACAGAGGGAACTTTTTGAATGTAATAAAAAACTATTTAAAACCAAAATCAATCACCATTTGCAGAGGGGATATAATAGAAACTTTCCCAGGATAAAGTAAAGATACCTGTTCTTTCTCCTGTTCTTTGATGTAGTTCTAGAAATGCTAACTTTAGCATTAAGGCAAATAAACGAAATTAAAGGCAAATAATAATAAACACACAAAAATGAGACAAAATTATTCCTATTTGCTGATGACATAATGGTTTACTTAAAAAAAGCAGGAGATAAATGAGAAAATTTATAGTACTAACAAAATTGGAAGCTTCAAAATAAACCCTCAAAAAATATTTTTATAGAATAACAAAGTCCCAAAAGCAGTAATTAAAGGGGAAATCTTAATCAAAATAACTACAAAATGCCTAAAATATTAAAAAAAAAATACCAAACCATACAAAATGTCTGTTGATTCAATTATAGAGTGAACTTTAAAAAAATAAAGAACAACTCAGCTGGAAGAATAATGCCATTATAATAAAAATGGCACATCACCAAAGATAATTTATAATTTTCATACTGTATCAATCAGGCTGTCAAAGGGATACTGAATAGAACTTGACAAAGTAATAAAATTAACTTGGAGTGAAAGATCTGAAATGAAATATCAAGAGAAATAGTGAGAAAAAAGGAGATTAAGGGGTAGCATCAGATCTCAAAGTATATTATAGAGTGACAGTCATAAAAACCATTTGATATGGGTTAAAAAATAGAGAGATTAGTGGAACATAGTAGACAAGGGAGAATTAAAAACGAGACTCAACACCAGATTTGATAAACCTCAAAACACAAATTACATAGGAAAGAACTCCCTGTTTAAAAGAAAACTGGAAAACATTCTGGCGAAAATTAAGCTTAAAACTACATATTGCATAATAAAATTCAAAATGGACATATGACCTTAATATTAAAGATCACACCATTAAAAAAATTGAAAGGAGCAGATCATATGTGCCTTTTACAACTGAAGGTAAGAAATGGATTCTTAACCAAACAAGGGATAGAAGTGATTGATTACAAAAGGTAAAATAAACTAACTTTGATTACATGAAATTGAAAACCTTATATACAAATAAAATCAATGCATCTAGAATAAGAAGGAAAGTGGTTAAATGCGAAAAATGCCTTTGTATTAAATTTCTCTGATGAGAATTTTGTAGCCAAGATATATAAACCATTAATAGATACGTAAAACTAATAGCCTTTCCTCAATAGATAAGTGATGAGAGGATGTGAACAAACAGTTCTCAAAAGAATTTTAAGCTGTTGGGGCAGCTAGGTGGCGCAGTGGATAGAGCACCAGCCTTGGAGTCAGAGGGACCTGAGTTCAAATCTGCCCTCAGACACATAATACTTACTAGTGGTGTGACTCCAGGCAAGTCACTTAACCCCGGATTGCCTCACTCCCCCCCCCCAAAAAAGAATTATAAACTGTTAACACTTATATGAAAGAATGTTCCAGGTCACTAATAATAAGAAAAATGCAAATCAAAACAACCCTGAGGTTTTATTTCACCCTGAAAATTGGCAAAGATAACAAAAGATAGAAACAGTCAATTCTGGAGGAGCTTTGGGAGGGTAGGCATGCTAGTACATTGTTGATAGAGCTGTGAATTGGTACATTTTGGAAAGCAGCTTGCAATTATGTAAATAAAGTGATGAAAATATCCAAATCCTTCGACTCAGAGATTCTGCTACTAGGTTTATACGCTAAGGAAGTCATTAATAAAAAGAAAGTCGTCTTACATACCAAATATTTATAGTACTTCTCTTTGTGAATTAGAAACTATATAGATTCCTATCAACTGGTAAATGGCTAAACTAATTGCAGCACATTAATATAATGGAATATTACTGTATTATAATAAATGATCAATAGGATAAATACAAATAAACATGAAAAGACTTACAAGACATGATACAGAGCCAAGAAAACAATACGCACAATTACTATAGCAATATAAATGGAAAGAACACAAAATATTAAAAGTGAGTATTGCCCAAAGAAAAGATAAAAGAAGATAACCTCATCTCACTCCTTAGCAGAGGTGGTAAGTACCTGAGTACAGAATATTGCATATATTTTTAGACTTTTAATCAATTTGCTGGTTTTTTTCCCTCTTCTTCCTCTTTGTATTAAAAATATTATTTATATATGGGAAATCTGGACAGGGCAGGGTAAAAGGATACTGAGAGAAATTCTGGTGATGTTTAAAAAATATATCAATAAGATTTTTTTTTGTGTATGTGTGTATGTATATGGCACCATTCCCTGTACCTTTGACATCCTTATAGATTTCCCTCTTGGTCACTTGTAAAACTACCAATATTTGTACAAAGTGTTACTCTTTGTTGCTTATTAATTACTGGAAGATTATTGTGGCAGGTATGATTCTTGGAAAGTTCTCAAAGTTAGGATGACTAAATTTCAAATTTTTCTTTTACAGGCATGGTTCATGGAGGGAACCTGTCAACCCTTACTATGTCAATTCTGGTTATGCCCTAGCACCAGCCACCAGTGCTAATGACAGCGAACAGCAGAGTATGTCTAGCGATGCCGACACAATGTCCCTCACTGACAGCAGTGTGTAAGTCGTTTTGATTTCTTTTGGAAATGAGATAATATCAAAATCTCATTAAAGTTACCATATTTTAATAATGATATCATGTGTATATTTGTGAACATATTCTATTTGATTAATGAAGAGTCAGATTTAAATTCTTGTATTATGTATTTCATTGTTACCATTATATGATCCTTTTTAGCTACGCTTTGATCTAGTAAGTACACTTTAGTATATTTCCAACATTTGTTCTTCATTATGAAATTTCAAGGCACTTTCCTAGGTAAATCATTACATTTTATTAGAAACTACTGACATTTCAGAACATAAACCTAAAGGAATTTGTCCCAAGCTACTAAATACAGCAGTACTTATCCACCTAAGGAATTGCTTAAAATCACACTCTCTCCTACTGATCAAACTGCTTTACCAAGTTATCTTGTACCTTAAAGTCCCTTTATTTTGAAGGAAATTTATTTGGTAGTAAAAGTCTTCTCAATGAGCCTCTTAACACTCTTTTTAAAGGAAACACTTTCCTAAATAGTAGCATTCAAAAAAGTTAAAGTCTTTCCTTGAAATTTCCACATTACCAGATTCCCACGACAGATTTCTGCCAAGCACAAGGATTGCATGTAGGCCTAGAAATACCAAGGAAGCTAGGTGGCACCTTGGATTGAGCACTAGACTTGGAGTCAGGAAGACGCAGATTCAAATGGACTGCAGCATTCCCAGCTGTGTGACCATGAGCAAGTTTCTTAAACTCTGTCTGCCTCGATTTCTTCTTCTGTAAAATAAGCATAATACTCCAACTCCCAAGATTGTTGTAAGGATAAAATAAGATCATATTTGTAGGGTGCTTTGCAAATCTTAAAGAACTATATGAATGTGAAATGTGAAAAAATTATTCATATTCAAGAGAAACACTCTGTACCTTTACTTCTCATTTGGGGTTAAAGATAGTTTCGTTTAATGGGCACAGTATTTGGCCATGAGATTTAATGGGAACATGGCTGTTCCATTCAGTAGAACTATACTTTTTACATTGTCTTTTCAAGCATGGTTTCCTCATCCTCAAGGGTGTATGAAATTTTTATGTGTATAATTACCAGTGAATAATAAACATAAATAACTTGGTGACTCTAAGCCTGTTTAAGAATCTTTATTAAGTATACTTGAAAGCATTGGTTTCTTTTTACAATCCCTACTCCTTGCTAAATGCTATAGCTTTTTCCCCCATGGAAGCTGCTTTTTATGGTTCTGTTACATTGATCTTCTTATTTTCAGCAGTAGCTAAAAAAAGATCAAGCCTGTAGAATCAGTTTTGCTAAAGGGCATTCTTTGCTCATTTGACCACATAACTTTTATTATGGTTTGGCTCAAAGAAAGAAAATACTTTCTTAGACATATTAATGGTGGCTTTTTAATGCAGACTAGAAAAATCATCCAGCTGCTTATCTGGGTAAATGCAGGAGCTACCAGTCAATAATATATCCAGCCCCCAGAATCCCAGAGAATTTCCTCTTCTACTTAATAACAAGCACAAATGTAGAACAACATTCTGGGCTTTAATTAGAGTTTAAACTTTTTTAAAAGATGGCTAAATATTTTGTTCTTTTATCCCAAGTTAACATGCCAGTTCCTCAAAATGTCTGGATTTTATTTTATATTATAAAAGGACAGATGCCACATAAATACTGATACTGTGTCAGAATCATAGTCTGCCATGACCAAGTAGGAATAATGCATCAAAATAAGACACCCTTATTGGAAGGGGAAGAGAGGGGAGTTTATTCTAATAAATAATAGACAGATTCATGGGTAGTTTTTAGAATCACTGATTGTTAAGAGCAAGATAATCTAGTCCTATCTATTTGTTTTACAGGTGAGGAAACTGAGCCCCAGAGAAAGGGAAGTGACCTAAGGATCACATTGTTAGCTAATGTCAGAATTGATATTTAAGACTCAGTTCTTCTAACTCCCAATCTAGGGTTCCTTCCACTTTACCACAACTGTGTCAGCTCAATTTTTCTCTTTTTAGGTACTTGGAAATTATTGGAATAGTGACAGCAAAAGTACCTTTTTTCCTCCCTCTTTTATAGTCATATCAGACAAACTAATCTAAGTTTCAGGCATTCTGCTGAAACTAACCAGTTTAATGGTTCTTCGAAAGAGTTAACATTATTAATATTATTAAAAAGTTTCAGCTCTAATTATTTATTGATATTAATAATTGATTACATTTATAGAGGACTGATAGTTTCTACAGGAAGTAGAACTGTGTCAAAATGAGCCTGCCTTCTGACGATGATTTTTAATTCAGGAGACCCATAGGGTCTTCTGGGCAGATGTGCCTTGTTTATTGATAATAAATATATTTATAATGAAGAGTTAGCTGAGCCCATAATTGAACAGGAGGATAAAGAGATTGGGCTGACTTAAACATGATAAATTATTCAGAGCTTTCAAGATTGCAAATTTTTCACTGCCACAAGTCTAGCTTTTTAATATCAATGTTTTGCTGGTGCTATGGCAGTGAATCATAGTAATACTGTAACCTTAGAAGAATTAACCTACAACTTAACTGAAAGAACTTCAAGAAGTGACATTAAATATATTCAAGAAATATAGGTGGTTTAGCCTTCTAACAAGAAAGTGAACAACATATAATCAGTCTGAATGGAATGTTCGTACACCAGAGATACCTTTCTTTCTTCCTTTCCCTTCCGTACACTGGACATATATTTATGGGGAAACATGAACAATAATTCCACTAGATGAAAAGATATGGAAGAATTTTAGCCTGTATTGTTGGAAGGAATACACATATGCATGAAATCATGTGTGAATCCATTAAAATACAGTGAAAGGTTCATATCATTTACAAGTTAGCTTTTTATTCATTGGATCATGCGCTGGAGGACTCTTCTTCAAAAAGTCCTTTTAATCATCTTCTAATTCACCTGTTGTACAAGTCTGACGTACTTAGAGGCAGTGGATAGAACACTGCATTTGGACACTTGGTAGTTGTGTGGCCTTAGAGAAGTCTCTCAAACTCTGTTTACTTCCATTTCTTCAGCTGTAAAATAGAGATAACAATGGCACCTACCTTCCAGGTTTGTTGTGAGGATCCAGTGAGGTATATTTGTAAAATTCTCTGCAACGTTCCTGGCATATTGTAGGCACTATACAAATGCTAGCAATTATCATCATCATCGTTATTACTTTAATACTGCTTGCACAGAGGTGATAGAAAACAAGTTTATTCCATTTCTCAAGAAATTATGTGTTGCAACATGATGAATGTGGAAATATGTTTAACATGATTGTACATGTATAACCTGTATCAGATTGCTTGCTGTCTTGAGGAGGGAGGAGGGAAAGAGGAAAATTTGGAACTCAAAATCTTACAAAAATGAATATTGAAAACTATCTTTACGTGTAACTGGAAAAAAAATAAAATACCACTAAGTACAAAAAAACTACACATTGGATAGTAAGAAGCATCTTTAGTTCCACCTAGAATCTCTTCACTTTCTGGGCCTCTGGGGTTTAATTTTTGATATATTTATAAGAAGTATATGAATGATGGGGAAGCTTATCCGCAAGTGATGGACAAGAGTGACTGTGTACAATAGCACCTTTATCTCTTTCTGCACTGATTAGGAGTTGGTACTAGTAGTTTTCACATTCTTTTGTTGGAGTAGACAGAGATATGCATATTAATGATTCCTTTCTGCCTCTGCATTCAGAAGATAATTTAGTATCAAAGTGAGAACCTGTAAGAAAGAATTTTATTTATTGCAAATACTAAAAGTCATTTAGGCATAACTCCTTCTTTGCCGTCCTTAGCACTTCTTCGTTTCATCTGTGTCAGTGTGATGTAGTAGTAAAAAAGAACACTTGATTTGAAGCCAAGGGACAGGAGTTCAAGTCCTGATTCTAACACTTAATAAGCTGAGTGACCTTGGTCAAGCTGTCTAGGTTTACATTTAAATAATTATTACTTGTGTAATTGACTTCCTCAGGTTGTTAATGAGGATCACATAAACTACCTACCATATTTGACCAAATGTATGACCACACTTGAACCCTCTTGCCTTCTCCCATCCCAATTTGGATCACATAAAACCTAAACACGGACAATAACTGTTATTTTAGTATCATTAGACACAACTTAAACCTCACTGATCTTCCTGTGAACACCATAAGGAATAGCAACAATTTCCTCATTATCCCCTATGCACAGACACACTAGAAATCTCAGCCAAATGCCCTTGCTGGCATTGCAAACTTCAAATGACTGTCTTGCATTTCTACTCCAGTCTCATCAATCTCACTGGAAAGTTTTAATGTGAGAGTGGTTTTTACCCCTCATGAAAACTCCTGGGTTAAGAGACAGAAAGAGATCATTAGAATAATTTTACCACCAGTAGGAGTATGCACTTTGCTTCTTGATTTGAGATCCATTTTCCAGTTATAGATAGAAATAGATGATTGCAGAACTTCTGCTTGCAACTGCAGAGTTGGGTTCCTTGAAGTTCATTTTTAAATGTTACAACAGTTTGTGACATGATAGTGGATCCCCCAGAGTGGTTGTTGTTTTCCAAGCTTGGTAACCAAACTAGCTAAGCCACCTAAGGAATAGAATGAAAGAGGTAGGGTACTGGGAAGCAGGGCCCAAGGTAGAGTTAGCCATCCACATTAACTTCTTTCTCAACTTCCAAAAGTCTGTTTAAATTCTTGGGTTTGAATAGGCTCAGCTTCCAAAATAGAGTAGGAGTGAATGCATACACACATAGCTTAGGAATGCAGTCTATATTCAAAACAATACTATATTATTATTGAGAGGTAGTGTCTTGTAATAAAAAGAATACTAACTTGAATTTCAAAGACTTGGTTTCAAGTCCTAGATGTACTGTTTATCAGTTCTGAAGCCTGTGGACAGATTTTAACACCTGTCATTTAAATCACACACTAAATATTTCATAGAGTTGTGAAGAAAGTGTTTTGTAAGTTGTGAAATA